TAAACGTATATTTTATGCAGCATTCTAAAAGTGACTTGTGCGGAATGTAAGTAAAATGCATTTAAAGGTACTCCACAAAATTCAGACCAAGCGAAGCTGCGATACATTTCGAGGGAACGCAGAAGGCGATGTTGTCGCATATCTTGTCAAGTTTTAGGTTGAGCCGTGTGGGCTAAAAAGTTGAGCATTGAAATATCTTTACCGGAACCGTTTGGCTTAAACGAACCGACCAGCATATGTAAGTACTTTTTTTTTCCTACCTACCTTTTAATCAATGCCCACGTAAACGTACGCCTGTAATAATCTGGCTAGTCACTCAATCCGAACTATAATTGAGCAAATCGACATCAAGTTTAGTGCTTATCAGTGCAGATGCTGTTAAAAGCAAAAAAAGACACCATAGGCAAAGAAATCATTGGATACATAAGTATCTCGTGTAATTATTCAAGCCCAGAATGAGCAAGTACAAGATAAATAGAAACCGTTTACAATCCACGATTTTATAAAACGCTTAAACGCTTCATATGCAGACATACAATAAATTACGGCAATTTTTTTTGCTGGTTTTATAAACAGCGGGCAGCCTTGGTACACAATGCGCGACATGCCGTGTGTCGTAATGTGTTGTGCACTTCTCCCCAAAATTCAATTGTGCCAGAAACAAAGAAAAAGTATTGTAAAGAGGGCACATCCAAATGTTCTCTTTAAGGTCCACGGGCCCAGTGTGCCCCAACCTTGCAATGCTGAGGCACAAGATATGTTAGTAGGGTAAAGAAGAGAGGCTGCAATGTGCAAAGCACACTTTGACGGTGGCGAGGAGGAGACAGTACTAAACGACGCAAACGATTTATTGCGAATAGCAAGGGCACAGTTTTGCTCGAACACGTTGGTCGCCTCACTAGTCGCACAAGTGAACCAAACATTATTGTTTCGTCTTGCAATAGTTTAAGGAATAGTTTAGGCGCTTCGCGATCGTGCTTATGCACCCTGTGAAAGCTGTGTGACCCAGTGGCACAATTGTAACAGGCGTGTCGGTTTATTAGTGTACACGTGACGCGGGCCACTTTTTCCTTTTTTTATAGACTACTCTACAGATGTATTTCAGTACCGCCATATCAGGATGTAGCGTTCCAGTTTGGTATCTTGAATATTTAAACGAAGAGCGCTACGATAGACACATTCACACGAAGAATGTTGGGTTGGCGCATTTACATTTCATGACCTTATTAATTTGTGTCACGATGCTCAAAGATATTGATTATTATGTGGGGTCTAACGCCCCAAAACCACCATATGATTATGAGAGACGCCGTAGTGAAGGGCTCCGGAAGTTTCGACCACCTGGGGTTCTTTAACATGCACCCAAATCTGAGCGCACGGGCCTACAACAATGCTCAAAGGTATGGAAATAATGGTGTACCAGCTCTACGCAGTGCCACCTCTACATTCAATTTGAAGAAGCGTAAGTGCCGCTCATGGTGAGGGCCTCTGCCTGTACTCTCTCCAATCTGACGAAGTCCGTACTTGGTGACTGAATTCCAGCCGTCACCAATGTTGGCTTATCAAAGTTATCTACGTATAATCCGCAGTTGGCGCACCAACTGGCACACGTATTTTTACTCGCGAATGAAGAACAACCAACATGGGGAACAGAGAGAGATGGAGAGAAAAGAGGTTAGCCAGATATTGCCACCTGGTTTGCTACCTAGCACTGGGGGTGAAGAAATGGGGCCAAGAAAGGGAGGAGAAGGGGGGGGGGGGAAGAACATAAAGAAAATAGGGAAAGGCCAAGAGGAGCTGACGCTTATTCACACCTTTATTACATCCACCGAAATTGCGATCCTGAGACCAAATTTCAGTGCATCGTACGAGTGATACACATCTCTGTATCCTCCGCTCCTACTAGGAAACCTACACTCTTGTATCTTTACCTGGCATGATCAGCTATTCAATAGATTGTAGTTTTTAAAACAAGTTTTAAAACTGCTTCAATTCCCCCTTCTTAACGTGACACTTTCGGGACAGGTACAGCATACCATCCCCTGTTTTTGCGCCATGAAAAACTCTCTCTACAGAGAGTGTTGAAGAGACCCTCTAACACTTGAAAATATTGTTCGTGACTGCATAAGCTCGTAGGGCTGCTCGCCATAACTATTGCCAACAGAAATCACGCCTTACAGTTGCCGCAATATGACTGGATAATTGTAACGTTAAATATATTCGCAGCACTGCATCAAAGTAGAGATTACTATAAGATTTGTTTTTCTTTATCATGATTTTTTTTACTAAAACAGTAAGAGGATGAAGATCTTCTTTTCTAGCTTGAGAACTGCAAAGCTTGTCAAAGAATGCATCAAACGCCGTGGTGCTTGAGAAAACGCACTCGATATGCTAGGGGTTTCGTTGTTAAAATAAGAAAAAGGAATTCAAGAGCGTTGATGTATGGACGCATTCACACACAAAAAAGAAAATGTCAGTTAAGCTACAAAACCTTATAGAAGCTTTCGCAAGCTGGCTCGTTTCGCTCATGCTGTTCCCTCTTTAAGTACCACATGGTTTGTTACCATCACAACGATGTACTCAACACGTTGGACATGATGGGCAATATGTCATGCGAGCTTCCTGTATACGGTAGGGCTTTCAGTTCATTTCATTGGGCAGCCTTCTGACGTAACTGGGCAAGGAAAACATGGTCAGGTGAGGCAGGGAGAATTGAGTTGAGGGTAAGCATTCATTTCAGTGTATTTTGATATACCTACGCTAAATAACTTTGCGCTGTCGTTCTTGCAGCAATTATCTCTTAAACCTTCAGTGTACGCAACCAGCAAGTAAAACATGTAAAAGTATGAGGTCGTGAAAAATGTTAGAGTGCCCCTCTAAATGCGAATGCTCTGTGTGCCCAATTAGGTTCATCTAGTCGTTGTATTACGTCTCTTCGTTCGGCAGAGACGAGATGCTCTCCATTTATTCCCGTTCACGTTCCGACATGGTTAATAGGATTTGATAGAGCCACGCGACTGAAATCGGCCACTTCGTTCGCGGCTGCGTTTCGCAATCAGGCCTTTGGGTTGTAGACGGCTGTGCAAACGTCTACAACACTAGAGGAACGGCGCTCTCATAAAGGAAATGCACAGAGACGCCACTCCCCCCCGCGGTCACCACGTGACGCGCATTTCTCGCAGTTGCGGCAACGGCTCGTCACGCTTGAGTTACACAATGAATGTCTCTAATCTTTGCGAATGTCCACAGGATGTGTGTAACGCCGGTATACGCGTTCAAGCGCTAACTATGCCGTCTGATGACGTAACCAAATCGCATCTTCTAGGTCATCTCTTTTCTTCTAGTGCTTTGGAACGTGAGATGGGTTGCTATGCACCTTGAACTACGTATCTCAAATATCGGTGGTGTCTGAACAAATGGTGCCTCCAGATATGAGAAAACTGAAGTTGCAAGTATCACCGCATGCTGTCTCAGCACTTGTCATTCACCGAACGAAGCAGTGACATGGAACGCTCACGCCTAAGTTGGGCAGCTTGGTTTGTGTCTCTAACAGCCGTAACTAGTGCCAAAGAAGACCTGAGAAGGGAAGCTGCAATGACACCCGTGAGTAATATTGTTTTGTTTTGTTTTGTTTTTTTGCAACTTTCAAGGGAAAAACGTATCCCTACCATCAATAATGCGATACGCAGTAAACTACCCTTAGACACCATGACAGGTGCTAATATCACAGGACCATGATTCTAGGTTGCTGGCCCTTGAGCCATTAAATTTTGCATATTTAGGTTACCGCATGGTCCACATACTGGTGACTATCATTTCCGTAAGTGTAGTTGTAGATATTTCTGAAGGATCAATCTTTACCGAAGCAGTAGAGGTGAGCAATCATGGAAGCCACAAGTGCAATGACTTTTTTGTAACTTGTGGCACTGTTATTTCAAGTATTAGGTGAAGTTGTTTTTTTCAATTCAGCTGTTCGTTTTGCAACTTTTTGTAGTGAAGGTATCTTCTCTTCTTCATATAAACTTCATACAACACGCCTCGGTTACTTAAACAAGAACCTCTATGATGTATAACAATGCCTTCCGATCATTCTAGCTTTTCAATAAGCCAAGGTATAGCAGGTGGTAAATTTGTGCACCATCATATTCTTATAACTCCCATTGCAACACTCTTCATTACGAGCCAGTGCAAACATACAATCAACATGGGTTGTCAGGTGAATGTGTTTGCATGTCAGAAAGGCATAACGCATTCTTCCAAAGCTCAACAAAAAATAATGATATTAACTTGCTCTATAAATGTTATCTTGACTGCTTAATACTTTTGTACTGGTGACCAAAATAATGAAACCGTTATCGCAGCTTCGTAATAGTGAGGTCAAGCTTGAAGGAAAAGCACGACTTGGTGGCTTTCCCCATTTCTCTTTTCTTAGTACTTTTTCACCTCCTTCTTTATCTTTGTCCGTTTTTTATCTGTTTTACATCTGCAGGTTTCTATTTCTTCCTCGTTCTCTCTCTTTCTATATACATTTCTATTGTTTCTCTTTTCCCATCTTTCTACTCTATTCCCTGTATTTATGTTTCTATTTATTTCAGTTTTTCTTTGTGTTTTTTTCATTGTATTACTTTGTTACCGCCTCTCTTCTTTTTGTTGCTCTTGTCCTCTGTTTTTTTTTTTGCTCTTTCAACTTTCTTTTTCTTCATCTCTTTCTCTCTCACGCTCTCTCTGCCACGTGTCTAACGTGCTCCAACTCACCGGGCAGAGTTTTCACTTAACACTCACACCTGTTGTACTTGGTTGTGCTGCTTTTTTGATTCCTGTGGTGCATACCCACCTGTATAATTTTTCAGAACACCACACAGACTGCTGCCAGCTACATTAGCTTTTATTGATAATAAACATTACTTCCACCTTCCATAATGCAGTGCGGGCTTGTAAGGTACCATGGTTACCCTTGCGAAACAAGCTATGCTACTACGGACGACAAATTCAGGCTCCATATGATCAGGGTTCGTCACGGAATTCGCAACGGACCAAGCGCCACAGGTGGGCGCGAGAGGGAGCGACCACGTCGACATCCTGTGCTCCTCGTGCCGCCTTTGCTCGAAACTTCAGCCGTCTACTTCATCAATTTCCCAGTCGGAGAGCCCAGGCGAGTAGCTGTTACTCCCCAAATTTCTGAGCTGAGACTGTTGAACACGCGGGTAGGGAGAAAGAAGGAGAAAGAGAGAAAAGAAAAAAAAAGGAAAGGTAGGAAAGCTAACCAAACGATCTTCCGGTGTGCTACCTTACAGTGGGAATAAAGCAATCAGCACTGAAGCACAACAGTTCAGTATCCCTTACCTTATCAGAAAAGGAGAAAAGTGAAGCATGTCGTGTTGGTATCGGTCCTATTACTTCTCTTTCTCTAAGATTCAAAATACAAGGTGCAAATAAGCTGACGGCCCGAAACAGACACACAAGCAAATACACTTCATTTTAGATGCGAAGTGTTCTTTCCTCTTGTCTATGTCGCGCGCCGTCGGCGGTGTCCGCACACACACACTGCGCATGCGCCACTCTCCTCCTTCCCTCTCCAACAGCTGTGCGTTACTCTCTCCGATTCTTTCCTACCACCTGCTCGCTCTCCCCTTCTCTTCCTTGAGCCTCCCTCCCAGTAACGTTAGCACTCCTATTGCGCATGTTCGTCTCCTCTCACCTTTTTTCTATGCTCCCAACTCTCTCCTTTCCACACGCCGACGAAGTGAGCGTTTCCTAGCCGTTTTCCTGACCGAAATAACCGACTTGTCACGCTTCACAAGTGGTGTTGCTAATTGTAGTATTCTTTATTTCTCGGGAACCGTGTTGAAGGTGTGGGACGTTCAGGTCTATCAGCACAACGAGGAGCTTCCCGGGAAGTAGGCTCGCGGGCCGCTGCATGTGCAGCCTCGTTTCCCTCGAGACCTTGATGTCCAGGAGTCTACTATAGCACGTTTTAGGGTAGGATCGTGGTTTCTGATACTTCGATTGTATTAGTCTATAAGCCAAAGAAGATATTTCTGCGGCAAATAGCTATCGCAGGCTCTTAGAGAGCTTGTAACTATTCCTTTTCATTTAGAATGGAATACCGCCAACGCGATGGCCACCTCTTCCTCCCGACTTTAGTTTGCAGCTTTGAAAGTGAGGCCATTCATCCTGCGTTCTTTCATATATCAGCCGTGGCCGTGTAGTAGCCCCCGGGTGATGGTTCAGGCCACGTCGACGTAATAGACACCATTACGGGAGCCAAGCCGTTTTTCGAGTGCTTCACCACGCGCTTGCCTTCTACCCTCGTGCGCCTCTCCGGTCATATTACGGAGAAGCGGGGACACAGCTGTGGAAGGGACTCTCGAAAGCGGAGGAGCAAGGCTTTCGGTGCATACATAGAAACGTACTGCTGTGTGCAGCCATACTCAAATAACACGCTCCAAAGGAAGTGAACAGTTGCAGTACTGTGGGGAAGTGGCCAACATTTACCTTATGGTTTGCAAAGCACACGTCTGGTCCTTATAAAGATGCAGATGTTTTGTGCTGGTGGACCGAATATTAACGAGAGACATTTCCAGAGACTTCTTACATTGACTTTCGAACATTTACTTACCATTGTGATATGTGCGTATAAGTGTGTCTTTGCATATCTGTGCCCAAGTTTTCTATTTTCCATGCACTGCTTTGTATTGTTTGCTTCAAGATACGTGTTCAAGTTTCAATCAACGGCTAAGGAGTAGCCGGCGCCATAATGGTGCGCCAACATCTCCTTATATATCATATCAATAAAAAAAATCAATCAATACCTTATGGTCTGGGCCTGCCAAACAACCCCCCAAAAAACAGGAATCCCCAACCTCGTCAAAGAGGATTGCAAGACAACCCTGCTGAATAGCTGTGGGCTTACAAAAACTTGATAAGGAAAACTCGTTAATAAACTTTGTAATTATTGACGTGAGTTCCGTTTTTTATATTAAAACGTTTTAATGCATATAACTTATGGCGTACAGATTACTTAGATATGACAAAATTGCACGTAGATCGAGATAATCATAATTGAGATTCAAAGTCGGCATCAAAACTGATATCACCGGTGCGCACTGAACCCGCTGGAACACTGGACGATCCGAGGCAGGGAAGTCATGCTATCTTAATGAAGGCGCGCCGAAGCTGAGTTTGGTCGGAAAAATTGGCAAAAATATTTTAAATGCACAAGTATACAGCTCACTATTTGCCGGAGATGGCTAGGGTTTATCTGGTTCTTTCTTAAACTTTAAAGAGGTGAAAAGGTATCTTTTTTTGCCTGCAAGATAAACCACCGCATCGGCTTCCCTTGAGTTTTACGCTTCCCAGACCAAAAAAAAAATGTTGATATTCTAATTTTCCTTGTGCTCAGTTTGAAAGAAACAGATAAGTACCAAGCACTACGTGCACAAATAAGGCAATGCATTGGTGCATGTGATATGAGTGACAGCTTTTTTACAAAAACGGGTTGCCGTGGCGCGCCTTCATTTAACTTTCATCACTCCCTTGTGACAAGCAGTTGTGACTCCCTTGTGACAGGCATTAGCCTGACGCATCAAAACAGGCACGCTTCGTTCGCACCTTGCAGCATAAAGATTTGACGAAGTTGTCTCACATAACATGAGGTCTGGCGTGGTTTACGGTGGTATTAATACATCGGAATGTCTAGGGTGACCGGCTCAATTTTCTTGTTTTCACAGGTTTTCTGTTTGCCGACAGTGGATACGACGTGTGGGCGATGAGTAACAGGGAGTCAAGTCACATATCGAACAGCACGAGGTATTCGCAGCGAGATCCCAGGCACTGGAAATGGAGGTATGAAATCTGCGTTTATTTTGCATCGTCATAAGCTGGCTAAGGAAGGTGCCGAGTTACACATTTACTCAGCATTTTTCCTCTCTGTGTCATTGTAGCTTCGATGAATTAGGACGCTATGACCTTGCGGCCTGCATTGACCACGTTCTCAAAGTTACGGGAGCCCCCAAGCTGACCACGGTCGCACTGTCTCAAGGAGTAATAGCCAACCTCGTGCTGCACTCTGTACGGCCAGAGTACAACAATAAGGTGACCCGTCTTTCGTATTTTGTAAAGACTAACACTTGAGCTCGTCAGGAGAGTGTGATAAGGGAACCATCTATTAGCTCTGTCGCATAGACTACAGTCCTAGAGATCAGAGATGGTTTCTGTTCAAGCTGTGTCTTCCTTGGTTAGAGCCAGTGATACTTTTTATGCGCACACGTGCATGAATAAGCCGAATAGTGGGCCTTCCAAACATATATTAGCTCTAAGCTGACTCAGTCGCTAAAATTGAGCGAAAACTTCATTGGCAGTGCAGAAGTACTTGGACTTCAGCGATATGAGTGGATGAAGTTTCAGAAGCTTAACAAAAGATGAATGAGGAAAAAGATGTTATAAACGAAATTCCAAAATGCCTTTCAGAGCTTTGCTATCGAAATACGATGCCACACGTTAGTTCGTTACATAAACGGTAGTTCGACATCAGCGCTTGTTCTCTGTTTGTCGAAAGCAGGCTCGAAAGCTGTTGCAGGAAAGGATATTTCACGTTTACTTTTTTTTACTAAAATGCTTCCTCGCGAAAAAAAATATCTTACACTTACGATATGACGGAAAAATACCGAAGAGGAGCTGTTACGTCAACAACAATGATCGGGTTGCGCGTGTTCGTAGTGGAAGTTTTTCAAAGGGCATGCACATTCTTCTAGCAGCACGGACATAGGAGAAAATCTTGTAACATAATCTGTAGTTAGAGATAAGCTGAGAAAATGTGTAAACATCGGGTTCCCTAAACGACACTATGAAATTACCAGAAAGGTGTGTGCAAAAGAGACACAGGATGAAGACAAAGATTTTTTCTCAACCACGCAGGTAGACCTTCTCGTGGCTTACGGCCCTGTCGGAAATCTCACCCATATCGAGTCTCCGACTTCGGTACTAATACCGCATGTCCCATCCCTCATGGCAAGTCGTTTGATTCCAAAACTCCATCGAACTGCTCATTTACAGTGTTATGTACCTCACAAGCATTACACATTTTGTCAATACTAAACATGCTCATCTAAAACGGCTATTATGTCTACTGTAAATATGGCAGCATGACAGTGCCTTGCGGAAGGTGACATACTATTCGCTCTCCATAAAATGTGTTACGGTTTGGTTTTTTCTTGGAGCGGCGTCATCGTTAGCTTCATCGTCAGCGTGACCCTTCCAGTGGCAATACATAACGAATGTTACATTTGGTTACTGTCTTACGACTGCGGACAGCAAAAGCTTCAACCAGTTGACCTAGCTCCAACAAAAAGAGAATAATATTAGTTGAGATTTTCACGCCCCAAAACCATGATATGTTTGTTAAAGACGCTGTAGTGAAGGGCTCCGGAAATTTCGGACCATCCGGTGTTTTTTGACTTGCACTGATATAGCACAGTAGACAGGCCCTTACTATTTCGCCTCCATTAAAATGCGACTGCCACGGCCGGTATCAAACCGATGACCTCGGATCAGCAGCTGATCTGCCGATGCCTCAACACGAACCTCAACACGAAGGTTCACTCAGTATTCACATTAGGAAGTATCGTAATAGTCTCCAATGTTTGTTCACATTCAACCCGCGCCTTAACTTCTGTGTCTTCTGAATGCAGAACTTACACAGTCTTCAGGACATTAAGCTACTGTTACAATAAATCTCGTCGTTGCTTTCTTTGAAGCAGTCTGACAGCTGTTGAATATAGGAACAATGCTAGCATTTCTTGTACCACACTTCTATCAACCTTTGCGGTCTTTGGTGAATGCTCTCAGCACATCGTTTCTGATAGTGCCTGTGCATGTGAGTACAACTGCTTCATATGAACTGACCGTGTTCCCTCAAGTTCATTCCTGAATTCCCAGTCTGTACAGCATGAAACATTTCGGAGATAAAGCCGGCGTTCTCATGAAAGTTAAGGTCTCAGTTGAGAATGCAGCAACGCCAATATTGAAGTGAGAAAGTGACCAAGCCGATCTCTAATTAATCTTTACACAGGCTGCCGAATGTGCTGTGTTTCTCTCTTCCCTCTCTGCTCACTATCTTTCATCTCCCCCATCCCTCTCCCATGCGCAGGGTAACAAACCGGCTGCCTATAGGCTGGTTAACCTCCCTGCCGTGCTTTTCCCCCAATTTTCTTTCCTTTACAGAGGCTTGTCTACCCGTTCACGATGGCCGGTTTCCTCGGTACCTCCAGAGGACTGAGGTCATTGATCTCAGGAGTGTGCACTCTTTGGGGAGGTACACTTTGCGCGCTCGGCTTCACGATGACCAGTTTTTGCAGTCCAGAACAGTTCAATACGGTAAGAACGTACTAGTCTCGGTACAGCCGTAAGACTACATAACCAGCAAAATTTGCGCTTCTTCTCATCGTCACTGGTCGCTTAGAGTAAACGTTTGTGGCATGGCGTGGGCTATTTGCACGGACTTTATACCCTAATGCCGAATTTCGTACATTTCCGCCCGTAGTTCCCCAGCTTTCGATTGAAGCGATAGCACAGCAATATAGGGGCACGTGCTTAAGTAGGCCAACAAAGGCTTCCAGACGCGTCACTGACAAATATTTGTAGTTGAGTGCAAAGTTCTTGGTGAACGTAAACCTGAAATAAAAAGTCACAGTTTTTCCGTAAAGGCGAAGCAATGAATTCGATATCGACAAATTCGAAGGTAAAGCGAAGAATTGCAAGCAGATCGAAACGTATTCATGCGCATGTTGTCAAATGCAGTTCATTACTGTGGCAAGAATGATTGCGCAAAATCAGTTTAACCTAAAAGGTGAAGCTATCGCTGTGATAGCAACAAATTGCAATGGTATACGAAGTGAGGTTGGCAGTCAACTCATTCACGTCCGATCTCACGCAAACCTGCGAAACGCTGGTGTAAGAAAACACGGCCGCTCCAGGTACAATTTTGGCCCCTGTTTTTACGTGTTGAGGGCGCAGCCTGTAGAAGCTCCCGCCTGCTGTAGTGGCACAATGAGGCACGCGCTGATCATCGGCTGGTTTTTCGCCGTGTTGAGTCCATACAACTGCTATCGCAATAAAGGCTGAATACTGTAAAAGAAAGCTAGGATGATGCCATATCACCTTATGAAGCTGTTTATGGTTCTTTAGAAATCACCGCAATCGCTAAGCACTTACACAATTATTCATTATTGTTCCGGCTCGAAAACATTCATGACGGACCTGAATAGATTTATTTTTCGTTGAGCAATATGTATTGTCCATCGCTGGTCCCAATTTACGCGTTTCCAGCGCCAGATACGTAAGCGTGGCAGTTAGAGAAAATTAGATTTTGAACTTGCTGGTTTTCAATACATCTTTGCGGGGCTGAGTACAATGCTTCAAAAAAAAAAAAAAACGCCCAAAGATGAATCAGTCAGGGTGGCAGTCATTGTATAACTTAAATCAACAGCTCCCACTACACGTGACAAATAGGTAATTCGACAATGTTAGGAAATCTAACTGTAGTGACTGATCCCACGGCCTACATCAATGAAGGACTTTCTCTTCAGCAAAACTGTGGTGAATCAACTTTCTGAGGAGCTTATCTTTGATTTCGCAGCTGCGTGTCGTGGAATTTGCATTTGCTACTACTTCATCTAATGGCCTGATTTAAAGCAGCTTAAACGATCAATTTAGCTGAACTAAGCAGCATCAATTTGGAACCCGCAAACGTTCGGTCGCAAAATGAAAAACAAATTATCCAAGAATAACCGAAGAAGACTAGGGTCATTTTGTTGCTTCTATTTTTATTAGAGCTTTGAACATCCTCTGAGAAGAATGCCAACCACATGGCTAATTTGTCGGTTTTTCTGAAGCACACAAAGTACGCCAGAAATATTTCATTCTAACATCGCCTAGTAGTAACGTCTAAGAAGCGTTATGCCATTCGACGCTAAACTCATGCTTGCACTGTTTACTTAGGAGTACGTCCTGACTGCCTGTTTGGAAAGCTTACGTAGGCACGTATCATTGTCACATATTACTCCTTCACTTCATCGATTTTTTGTTGCCAACTCTTTACTTCAGACTCGCATTCCAATGTACATGGGTCATATGCCTACTGGTACAACTGTGCAAAACCTTCTTCATTTCCACCAGGTATGCACCTGCATCTCTTAAACACTTAATGAAGTTCAAGGCTTGACCTTATGCACTAAAATTTACATGCATGTGCCACGCAAAAAATGCGTGGTCAGGTTAAGTTGGGGGTTAAGAAATACTTTGAACGCTTCATGCAGGGGCACTCGAGGATGTCCCTTCAGATAATTACACGAAGTAAAATAATGAAATTTTTTTCAGGTATACAAAGCGAAGAATTTCGTAATGTACGACCATGGTCCTACCGAAAATCTTCGCCGATATGGCCAGGTAAATTAACCACAAGATTTTTGGGGTCATAGACCGCATCTACTGTGCATGTTAGTCTTGAATGCCATAAGATGTGACCGAAAATAACGAATGCGTAAGCAGGAAACGAATGTGTGCAATGTCTCATCTTCCTGCAAACATTTTTTTTATTTGTTGCCTCTGACGTATGGGGCAACGCTTTGTGTCTGTACTTGCGTGGTTGAAAGCACGTATGTTGTGGAAATGCTAGAGCCAAGCTTGAAGGCGGAAAAGTAACAAAAAGAAGAATCACTCATACTCTCCTCAACTTTCATCGTTAGATTCCAATCAATCGATTGTATATAATTGATATGTAGCCCTACAAGACAACCACCAATGAAAGTATATATACTTATGAATAGTATTCGCCTCATTTTGTTGGCTTAGCATGGCACGAAACATTGGAAAGTGCCCAAAACTCTTGTAAGTGGTTTCTCATTTAAATTTTCCAGGAAGTCTTTTCTGCAAAGCTCAGGGCTCTGAAGTGTTCTCTGGTAAGCCAAGACATCTGCAAGCTGATGTCAAGGGCAATATTCCAAAGCAGCTAATACACATTTTTTATTCGTGCTTCAGATTCGGTAGTTACTTTCTGAATTCTAAGTAAGTGCTGATTTAAAACTCATGCATCTGGGCTGCACTAAGAACTAGTATGCAATACTTACCTTTTGGTCTCAAAGATATCGTCTTTATGAAGAAAGCAAGCCGGCCAATTGTAGTATGTGACTGTCGTTTCGTACGTCTCATCTCTTCTTTCACATTTGTTCTGACCGTCGCGGTGCTATCCCCCAGAACTGTGGTTAAATACCCAGCCATGGTTACCACTCTTAGATGGGAGTTAAGTGGAAAATACACTCTTGTAGTTAAATACAGTGGCATGTTAACAAATCCTAGGTTGGGAAAGTTAACGCAAACCCAGCTATTGCGCATGCCTATTCATATTCTGGTTGAAGTGAAGCAACAGAGGCGCACCAAGCTCATCGAAGAAACAAAATGAGGATCGACAAAGAAAACAGGCACTTACCAAAACTTTTCTCAAAGCAGTAGACGTTAACAAGGCTATCATGCAGGAGTTGACACGTCTTTTATTTCGAATAATTTTCATGGTCGTTCTCTATATTGTACTCACTATATGGCTATTTCGACCCGCAGGAACATAGACAATTATCACATTTTTTTTTTAATTCGCAGAGAACACCTCCACCGTACCCACTGGATCGCATACGTTTGCCGATTGCCCTGTTCTGGTCTTACGGAGACACGTTGGCCGGTGAACACGACGTCGGAACTATGGCTGCCGCTCTCGGTTCCAACGTGATATTGAACTACCCGGTTCCTGTACGGACGTTTCGCCACCTCGACTTTGCCACTGGATACAGGGCTAATGAACTCTTGCATAACGTTGCCCTCGAACTTATACGGAAACGCATTGGCCGGAACCTTTGATGCCAGCCGTCGCAGTGTGTTCATTTGTTACGGTGTTCCACTTGTGACCGGAAAGACACAAATTGGAGTGCTACCACGCTGCTCGAAATGCGATGGCAGCAAGCCCCATTGCTAGGATTTTTTTCAGGGACGAAGCTCCTTATAGCGGCACCCGTTCGTCCCGCGTCCCGTCGTAGTATGTAACCAGTCTTACGCTTTGATTTTCAAGGTATAACATTTGACCTCCAAGGTGGTGCCGGTGAGAGAGTTCTTCTGTGCGTTGTTTAACAATAAAAAATAGTGCTCAATGTACATGCCAATGGCTGCTAATGGGGAATGAGAGACAGGAACACTCGGCTTTTAGTCAACGCGAACGCTGCGATCCCCATTAGCAGCCATTGGCATTTACATTGAGCACTATCGGACAAGAAAAGGTTGCTACATTATACTCGCTGGGTGTAACCTCCTTAGCTTTAGAAAGGTTTAGCGAGCGTTGAGCCGCAGTGCCATGAATACAGTGAACTAGTATATACCATGAATGAATTCGAGGTGGTCAAAGGGGGGAAGCAGATACGAAGCGCAAGCCGTACAAAATTAAAAGCTGAATCCTCCTGTCTCTCATTTCACATTAGCAGCCACCGGCATGTACGTTGAGCACTATCTGACAGGAAAAGGTTGCTACGTTATACTCGCTGGGCGTAACCTCCTTGGTTTTAGAAAGGTTTAGCGAGCATTGGGCCGCAGTGCCATGAATACAGTGAACTAGTATATACCATGAACTCAAGGTGGTTGAACGTGGGAAGTAGACCCGAAGCGCAAGCCATAAGAAAGTGTGCGTGTGCCACCTCTCGTTTAGTCCTTGGAATGTCAACTGAATGGCGGTGCTTCTATATGGGGAATATGTGATAAAAAGATGCGAGATGGTGGGACTTGGAGTGTTGAATAGACGGACGAATGGACACACAGACAGATGCATGGATGGACGCATGAACGAACGCAGGGATGGATGCATGAACGAACGCAGGGACGGGCGCACGAACAGACGCATGGACGGCCACACGGACGGACGCATGGACGGACGAATGCTTCGCCCCACTCTCCATCATTCACTCCGTGGATATGCTGCAAACTTTTTTTTTTGCTGGGGGGAGAAGGGGGGAGAGAGGATTCGCTCAAGCATTAACTGTTTTAGAAAAACACATGTTCTGAGCGCTGACTATGTAGTTAAACGTCTTCATCTGTATTGTACTCATTGTTCTATTGCACTCACCGTCATCGTTAGTCCCGTGAGCTGCAATGCTTAGCTTTCACGAGACTGCATTAAAACCTTGTTACTGTCGTATCAGACATCATCTTATCTGTAGTATGATGCATTGCCGCACATTCTTTTCATTATTTATTTTTTTTTTGGAAAGATCACCCACCTGATTCACCGAAGAAGAGGGGCGTGCCACACCTTTCAGCCACGTCCTCTTTTGTTTTAGCTATGGGTCTGGGTGTAAGCTAGGTCTAAGAGGGTCAAATACTTTGCAATTTTACTGGGAGTTACCGAATTATAAGTCCTCGAAACGAACCACAACCCCTCATAACGCCTCATTCACAGCCGGAGTCGCTTTTTGGCATCAAAGCTCAAAAGCCCAATAAACACTTTGATGCCAATTGAGGAAAGCTTCAGCAGCACGAACTCTAAAGCATCGATGTCTATTTCGAATGTTTTGAGCGCATGAAGCATTGCAAACCTACTAGAATGTGTCTTTTTTGCTTCTACATAACCACCTAATTTCTTAAGTACCATATGTAACTTATCTTTAATTTTTCGAACGTTTAAATCAGGAGCACTTAAAAATGATGATCCGGGTAAATAAGTGCAATGCAAAAAAGCAAGCAATACTTTAACCTGAAATACAACTCTCTCTATTAATCCCTTCATGGACACTACATTAAAGTAGAGTTGGGCGAAAAAAAAATAAATTAAAGGAATAAACTAAAATAACTAAAGTAAAACTAGAAATGAGATGTCCTGTCTGCATCACCTAACTATCGCAGGATCCTGCACGTGTCGTCTCGATGAAAAAAAAAATAGCACGAACAACGTGTGAACGGAACCGAACAATTTCGACACGGGTTGCTGCTGTTGACGAGCACACCGACAGCGAGATTTCCAAGCGCCTTCATATCTAATCGAAAGGGTGGCCGGCGCACCAGTGAAAAGCAGCCCGTCGAGCTGTTGACCCGTCCGAAAGCCCACATCCAGGAGAAATGTTTATTAATTGCTTATCGACAAGATGTGGCTATACACGTGTTATTTTTCTGTTTCTTTTTCTTTTCCCGCTGGAGTTGCGAGCAACCATATCATTATCACAGTTCTCCCGATAAAGCTGCTTGTTTTCACACTTTCCGCCAGCCACCCCTGTTTCGTAAAATGGAATGTTCTTGGCACTTTGAATATCGGCACTCTCGGGAAAAACCCACCACCGCGTGTTGTTTATCTTGCCGCTCCAGCAACCTGTCAATCAATCATAGCAATCTTTTTTTTCTTTGATACTGTGCATTTTCGAAGCAGCCTGAGTTGAAGTATTGATATTGATGTAGCCATACTTGTTAGTGTATGATGATGGTTGGGGATTGGTGGTTCAACCACTCTTCATGCCCATTCGTGCGTGCGTTTGTACGTTAGATGACACCTGAAGGTTGTCGCGCGCTTTGGTCCAGCAAAAAATTACTCAAGCTATAACTACGAATAAGAAAAAAAACAGGTTGGTGGAGTGAAGTTAGGTTTGTTTCGTCTGAGAAGGTCTAGGCAATCTCTGAGCGACGTCCGCGGTGGTGGAGCAGTGCTTGGGCCACTCGGCTGCTGACCCACTAGTCAGCGGGCTCAATCCCTGCGGCGGCGGTTGCTTTTCGATGCAGGTGAATTGCTAAAGGCATGAGTACTGTGCGGAGTCAAAACACGTTAAATATTATCAGATGCTCGAAACTTCCGCAACCCCCCCACTACGAAGTTTCCCTCAATAATATAGTGTTTCTGGGACGCAAAGCACTGGATATTATCAAGGTCTGAGTGGCACATTGGATGCTGTCGAAAAAGCTCCAATGGTATAGACTGCAGTGGCGCCACCCCTGTGCGTATTTGCGGTTAGGTTCGAAATGCACTACGTGATTCGTGGTGGCACATGTTGAAAATCTAACCTTGGCCTACGCACATACAGCGATGCTGGTTCTGGAGGTGTCCGTGTAGACGCATAAAAAACCTTGGTGTAATCGAACGCACGCATGATTCCGCCCAGACATTGTCCATTAAACAAGAGTAGAATTTTTATAGCAATGTCACTTGCAGTACTTAATTAAGAACAAAATCGACACTGTGCAATATAGTTTCATTGACCAAGTACAGCTGCAAACTGCTCTGAAAGTCAGAGCTTTATATGGTGACCATTGAACATTTATTGCACAGCCTGTATGCTTAGTTTCAGTGGCCCTGACGTAAAGCTTATCTTACTTAAAATGCATTTTTTGGCGTACCTGGAACTACGACACATGCGTAAGCCCTTCGCTCCGAAGAACCAGCATGGGCTGCAAAATATTTCGGCCATCCTTCCTTTCCCTTAAAAAGACACACCAACTCGGATGATGTACACTTAGTAGGGTACATCAGCGTGTGATATAAATTGTTTTTATCGGTTGGTAAATTCGGTAAATACTAGAGGACACGCAAACTAATACACAATACTGGCACGTAGTCTTACCGTTGACGAAAGAAGAGCTTGACGTGCGCAGGACGAAATACTTTATTCGGTAAACCTTGATTCCCGAAAAAGAAAACTCGAAGTACAAGCAATACACGCTGGGCACTGGTAGTGGGGAGAACAGCCATTGCCACCAAGCAAAAAAACGCAAAAAAAATTTCATGTTTGTGACTTCTGCAGGCCTGGCCCCTGACGTCACTCATTTTTACCTCTCGGTTTCTGCCGCGTAGAAGTCTGCATGCATGCTCCTGCCGTTCGAGATAGAAGGGTTGCTAAGCCTGACGAAGCCTGTCGAAGTGTGCCGGTGCTTCCTTTGGCGACTGCGTGAGGGTGACCGTGTTTTTCTGCGTGCGTGAAGTGATTCGTGGTTGTGTGGTGTGCTTCGTTCGCTGAATGTTCACCTAGTGTACACCTTCAAGCTCACGCCTTGGGACAGTGCAGCGGGCTCGACGGTCACCGATATCGGCCATGTGCTGAAGGTTCGAGTGTTTTCATTACGGAAGAACGGCCGAAAAGTGAAATGAGAGCGTGCCGATAGTCGGGATCAAATCCACATGAGTCCTCTACGTGATTCGAAGGTATGTATGCGTTTATAGGGTAGGGGGTGGGGGGGGGGGGATGCGACAAAAACTATGGAACAGTGAACATTTTTATTTTTATTTTGCTCCTCATAAATTAAACGTCAAAGCAGAAACTATTGTTCGGGTACAAAGTATGTGCTACATAAATATGGTCATGTTTGCCACCGTTCAAACATTTATCTAAAAATAAATAAAAAATTCTCAAGATTTGGTATTTTCGTCCAACCAGCGGGGCAAAACGAGGTGCTGCGTGACACAAAACGGGTCAGCGTAAGCGAATTTCATTCATTCAGTTCTTGCAGTAAAACAAATTTGGAGTTTACTCTGTGGGCCCTTATGCAGTCTTAAGAAGCCCAGTCCTTTGACTCTGCGCATTGAATATAGACAAGACGAGGTGTTGCTCCAAAACTGTGTGCGTGTGTGTGTTTAATTAAAGAATCATTAAGATTTACCTGATTCATTTCATCGCGTCATTTGACCATCAAACTTTGCTCCTATAATGCGGTCAAACGTTCCATAGCGCACAATATTTCTTACGTTTAGATAGAATGAATAATAAATTCGCACAAATAAATCGCCGAAAAGTTTACAGTGCAATACATTCCTTAAACCGGCGCCAATCTAGACACAAAAGGTCAAATGAAGCTTTAAAACTCGTCGCGAACATTTAACATTGCACGCAAGACGATCGTAGCCATTGCTTGAGAGCCTCCCGTGCGCGCTCACTCGATCAAAGCGTGTGTCGTCGTGGTGGCAGTCAGTGGCAAGCCTGCGCTTATATCTAGGTTGCGTTACAAAAAGTCGTCAG